TATAAACAAGCGAAACGAAATATAGCACTGTATTTTCATCAGATTGGTCTGAGACCCACCAGATCTTGAGGGCCTCTAGGGTTCAGCTTGCCAAGCCTATAGGAATATTGTATATATGTCACAGGGTCGTTATAAAACACACAGAAATATATTTTGTTCTTTATTTCAATAGGTTCTTTATTGAGGCGAATAAAATTGAAATACGTGCAAAACCAGACCAATAGGGTAATAACAGTATCCTATATAAAACACAAATAAACCACTTTACGTATAGCAGTTCATATTGCACTATATATACTCATATATTAGGTCATTTCGAAACGCCCAGTTATGGAGCAGAGCCGTAGGACGTTAAACCCCATGTTATTTCTTCGATTTTTTAATTAAAATGATTAAAACTTAACGATCTACCTGAAATTGTCACCCCTTTACTTTCTACCGCACGTTAACTAATTTCAGATCAAGCTATATAAACTTTCTCTCTTAAGAAATCGTTATTTATTTACTTTGCGGTATTGAAGACAGCCATGTTTGACCTAGTTATTTGGAATAACTCAAATCGAACAGGGGTGTTGATTTGACTTTGGGTCGTTTCGTCCTACTCGCATGTTTAAATAGTTGTTTTGGTCCAGTAGAATGTAACTTGATTTAATGAGCTATTTACGGGAGGTAATATAAATTTGCTATTTGGTTTCAGACCACAGTTGTTTACTCCACTGCCTTAGATATTAAATTGGCGGTCCCTGTCCGGTGGCTTTTGGAAATTGATATAAACTATATAGAAAGTTTGACCCAATATTGTAGTGACACGTCATAGAAATTTGGAAGTAGGCTAAATTACGATCCAAACGAATTGTCTATCTGGCTTTAGGATAATAGATATATAACTGTCGATTTTATTTGGCTTTGTACGACTTTTAATACTATTTTCAGACTGCCAAATCGTGGTCTTGTGGCACTTTTTAGAAAGATATCTACCTTCGCGTGCCACCATAATTGGCAATATACTGATAGAGTTTTCTTGTTTTTTTTTCTTTTTCAAAAGTTTTAATCCAATTCAAAAGAGGGCGCTCCTAAGATATTTTTATAGATAGCCTACTCTATTTATTGTTTGATTTATTTTTTTTAATTTTGTGAAATGCCCCTAGGCAAGTGATAACATGACAGAAAACGGAACGGCGTAGTAGCCCCACAAGGTCAACTCCTGATAGATCAAGGGCACGTAATTGCGTTTTTGTGTTCAGACCATGGGTGGTTTTTTTTTACATTTAATTTATTCTTATTGATTCGTCTTGAACATAATTCAATTTCTGCAAGTCTACCTTTTAAACAAAAAAAACCGGAAAATAAACTGTTTTATATAAATCATTTATTTACACAAATTCACAGAAAATGCCCCGACTATATACAATATATATTACAGAAGTTGCCTGGCCTACATTCACGCTATCTATCATACGTAATTAACGTACGAAAATTAAATGGTGCATGTAGGGTGAGTCTGTCGTTCAGATTGGCTATCTATCATACAATTTACGCACACAATCTACACACTTCACCACACTTGCGCTTACATCAATCTCCTTCCCAGTACTTTCACATGCATCCACTTTTCACACAACTCACAGCCCATCCAATCCACAATCGCATCCGATTCACTTTCCGGTGGGTTCTCACAATCACATACACTACGCACGTTTATTTCATCATCACTCGACTCGAATCTTCATTCGCAACACCACCGCCATCCATATTCTCAGCAACATTTTCACTATCACTCTCTCCACTGACATTGTCGCCCTAATCCTCACTCTCCTACTCGTTGTTACTCCCGAACCAAATCACGACTGGTGGTACTTCCTCATTCAATCTTCCCACTTCCCAAAACCGATCCTCCACCTTGTCTATGACGTGTTGACATACCTTAGCCCAGTCTCCAGTTGTCACACTAGCCTTGGCCTCCAGGAACAATCGCTTAACGTCTTTGATTTTAAAATTGGTGTTTCTTCGGGCGACATAGGCCTTTTCTTGTGCTAAAATGGAAGTATTTTTGATTTAATGTGGAGATACATTAAAATGTTATAAGGTGTAGTAAAAGCTTCCATAAATGAATGTTTGAATCCTGTTTTACAAAAGATTTATTATCTTTCAATGTCGTCAACTTGACTGCCGTCCAAATTTCAGTGTTAAGTATTGCCTTGACTTATCTCTATTTGGTTTAACTCACAATACCTTACTCGTAACCGGAAGACTAAATGTCCATGCTGATGGGCTATGTCGTCGGTCTTATATTGTTGAGGAGGACGATATGGATGGTCTCTCTTATAGTCATCAGGTCAAAATTATCTAATTTTGTTGAACATTTGTTAACCTTGCTTTTTTTATATTCCTGAGTTGTAGATGAGTCATTTTTCAAAGCCCCGTACACGGATTTTAAGGGTATATTCAATGCGTAGGCAATCTCTTTTTTGGAACTTTTATACCGTATATAATTCATTTTACTCTGTTTCTCAAAATAAGTAAATAAGCGATTAATACATTGGTTCACATCCCGCGTAATCTTCATCTTGAAATTGTAAATAACAATAATCACATACCCAGTATCCACTTTCTTATATACACACATCATTGTGCACTTGCAAATGCATGTGATGAAAGGATGATCCATTATTCAAGGAATTATATTTTCTACGATTCGTTTTTTTCTATCTATTCTACGACAATATCTGAAAAACATCTTGTGTGCCTGTGGAACGCGAATATAAATAAAAATAGATACCGTTAATCAAAACTATTTAAGTCCATAAAATTTTAAGATATCGTACAAATTTACATTTTATCAGAAAGGTTACCATGCCATCTAATGCTGAAAATAAGTGTTCTGTGAGGAATATTTAAACATGCATTATGCAAGAGCTAAATCTGATTATTGCAAGTCTTAATTTAGACTTCAGATGTTATAGAAATTATAAATTAGATCTTTATTTAAACAACAAGCCCAAAATCAACTCTGTAGACCCACGGATGGCTCGACTACAGCTCGGATTTAAATAGGATTTCACTAATTGATTAAATCAAGTATGGGGCAACCTGATGAAAATACGTCAGTTAGATCGAGGCTAAATGATAGAGTGTACTTAGCGAGGCCGCTGTAAAGCGTTTCCGTATGCCATTGAAAACTTTACTTGATAATCGAGATATGTAGGTGGAGTTAACGCCTGTCAATCAAACGGTCGGCCAAGGTGAAGACGCATTTCGCTACCATTTCTAGGCAAATATTACAACGATGATAACTATGTTCAGAATAAAATAATTTGACTGAAATTTTCAATATATTCTTCTTTCATCATCTTCTTTTGAACTGTTATAGCAAGAATGGCCAACTCTCTATAAAAATCTCCCATAATGTATCTTTAAGGAGACATGCAATACTATAAATATATCCAAGGAATATTAAAATACCGGTAACCAAATAAACCTAAACACACCCACACACCACTCGCACTCCCGCGAAACAAACCGGCGAATCCTCCCGCACAAATATTATTAACCGAATGCACCCGATTTGTGGAATACCTTATACCCCTACATGATATACGAGTGACCCAACTTAAGCATAAATTTATGTTCTGAGAAATTGATTAGTTTTGAAAAATGTGAAATTTAAAAGAGAATAAAGGATTTTATCGAACTTATAGGCGTTAAGGTTCCACGAAGAAAGTAATGGGGTGACAGTTCCAGGTAGGTCGTTAAGTTTTAACCATTTTAATTAAAAATTGAAGAAATAGTAAGCAATTTTCGAGTCGTAGTGTCGCCTGAAACAGACATTAATTATATTATCAAACTCTTAAAAATAAATAAGACACTTATTAATTATATATATTAGCATACTCGTAATACAATTAAGAAACTCATTAATTACATTATCAAACGAGTGAATAGAAATAAGACTCTTATTAATTATATTATCATACTCGTAATAGGATTAAGAAACGTATTATTTATTTTATCAAACGATTGAATAGAATTGAGAAAATTATTAATTATATCATCAAACGAGTGAATAGAATTGAGAAAATTATTAATTATATCATCAAACGAGTGAATAGAATTGAGAAAATTATTAATTATATCATCAAACGAGTGAATAGAATTGAGAAAATTATTAATTATATCATCAAACGAGTGAATAGAATTGAGAAAATTATTAATTATATCATCAAACGAGTGAATAGAATTGAGAAAATTATTAATTATATCATAAAACGAGTGAATAGAATTAAGAAAATTATTAATTATATCATTAAATGAGTGAATAGAATGCAGCGGTGTTATAACATAAAATGTACAAATAAAACTCGACGTGCTTCTCTTCTTTACGATAAATATGTTTGCTATGATCGTTGTGGTTTAATTACAAAAATGGTGGACAACTGGATTTCATAGAAATCATCTAATTATCCGCAAACTTGACAATATTAATATCGGATCAATGTTTGTTTTGGATGTACATCTTGTTTGGAATAAATATTCTAAAGCCAAAATACAAAACAAAACACTTATTTCCTGAACAGAATTTTTCTAAATGCACTTTTGAATTCGGGGCTGCTGAAATTGTATAGAAATGGATTAATGGCCGAGTTTAAATATGTCATCCAGAAAGTTATAGTAAAAACAACTTCCGGAACAGCATCTGGTTTGATGGCGCTAACATCAAAAACAATATGAAAAGGAACCCAACAAATGACGTAACCAAACAAAATATAAGACAGAGTCACAAACACTTTCCTTTCACGTTTTTCAGACGAATCGTTTTTATCGTCAATGTTATGTTTATTTCCTCTTTTGTTAGTGTTTGGGACTTGTAATGTCTGAGTGGTAGATCCTGCTGGATTTGACTTTTTTGTTGGGCTAGCACAGTTCTGTGTTGCGGGTGTTAAACTCATTTCACTGTTTGACCCGGAAGCAGCCATCTTCTTGCTGCCTATGGGCCCAATTTTGGCCCTTTTCCTCATGAAGAAGAACACTTGCAGATAGCAGAACAATAAAACAAAACACGCGCCATGATGACCAATAAGAGCTATAACAAAAACATATTCTGGATTTAATGATGGCTCCCAAATGCACACCTTATCTGCAGCATTTTTAATTCTGTCCACTATACAAGCTGGTAGCCATAAAGCCACCATGACAGCCCTGTAAAACATAAAACATTAACAATAATTAAGTAGATAAATAAACTATGTCACAACATTTACTTGTCAGTTTATATTCAACCCGAATGTCGGGGGCTGGGGTGGGCGTGGGGCCTTAGACGAGTGGTGCAACGCGAGTATGGCCTGCAATCCAACCCCTTGAACCATTCCTTAGTCTCGAAACGACCTAGTGGGTTTGCTCCGGGTCTTACAGTTTCTCCCTTCTTCTAGAGACCCCTACGCTCAACCCAATTATTGAAATGAAATTGAACCATTTGTAACATGTGTTAGTTCGTCACCAATCGACCTAGATGTTAAACCCCATTTCTCTCTCAGCCCATGAGAAACGTGACAATAGAATTTTTACTCGCTTAAAACAATCATTATTGGCAATGGTTAAAGATACATTGGAAGTTTCGACTAGAAATAGGCATCAACTGTCTCCGCACCCTTTCCGGGAATTGCCGGTCGTTTGATTGACCGATGATAACCCCACCCACATATTCTCGATTATCAAGTAACATTCCCAGCGGCTACGGTACTCTCGATTGACAGTCCTTTCATCGGTAGTCTCCGGTAGTGATGTCAGTGATTAACGTTAAAAGTTAGCTTTGTCAGCCATTTATTGAAAAATTACTAAATGGACTATTTAAATTAAAGCTGTATTCAAGCCATCCGAGTGTCTACAGAGTTAATTTTGAGCTTGCCATGTAAATAAAGGTCTAATTAATCATTTCTATATAACATCTGAAGGCCAAAGAAAGACTTGTAATAGGCCGATATAAGTATAATATAAGTATAAGAGTAAGACGTGTGTAGGCAGAGCTCTCCACGCTCGAGTAAGCAGTATAGTTTTTACTATTTAGTTCAATATATATTATGACAGATTGTACATGCTAAAGAAAGTGGTCGTCTGTATGGATTAATATAGATATGATGTCAACATGTTCAAGATGGTTAAAAAGTGTCTAATTTGAATGTGTTATCGATTTTAAACATTTTGTTTTCTGTCATTGATGTTTTGACTGTGAAATGAAGTGTGACGGTATTCCCGAAGGTCCATGTCCATTTTCAAAGAGAGGGTCAGAGGTCAACATGGCCCAAGGTGACATGTCGCTCTGTAAGCATTGTTATGAGCACAGATATGGTCCAGTAGCCAGTAGACATAAGTCATCTAGGAGAGCCAACTCACATATCACTGAACAGGCTAAACAAACTGAGTCAGATTCAGCCCAGAATAACAATCAGAATGTCACTAGTACATTGAATGTAATCAATGATGTGGTCTTAGCTTACATGGTGTATTCAATACAAAATAGTTCAAATGCGAACGTGAAAGCAGTCGTATTGGGACATTACAATGCTGAACAGATTTTAACAGGCAAATGTTTGTTATGGGGTAACTGTGATATCGAAGTGATAGGTGACATGCCAAAGAGAAAAGATTCAACTGCACGCTCGGAGAAAGATGCCAATGTCAGTGATATATTGTGTGCCTTGGAGAAATTAGATAAAACAGACTCAATGCCTTGTGTTATTATGAGTGCAAGCGACATTGGCAAAATACCTCGGACTCAACCTGAAGAACTGAACACTTTAGCCATGGTGGAACGAATGAACAGACTCGAAACAAAGGTAGAACATTTACAAAATATTTTAGATCATACTGTGTGTGACAACATAGCAATAAAGGAGAAACTTGAGCAGATTAAGAACCCTGCTCCTAAGAATGTGCCTGAAACATATGCTGATCTACTGAAACCGTCGAACTATATACCAAAACCAGACGAAAGTTCTGTATCGACATTTCGAAGACCGAAGCCACCTCGTGCAACCCATAGAAACTATAACAACATGCCACAATCATACACAAGAGATGTCTCTGGGGATAGAATCAGTTCAGTATCTGTAAGTGCACAATCTCGGACATCTGTAAAAGAACTTGAATTTCAACTTCCAGCTTACGCAAATAAGCAAATGAAGCGTCGCGAACATAAACGAAGAATGACCATAGTTGGTAAATCGAAATCCCAATCAGGTCTGTTCAAAGGTGCCCCTGAACCCAGTAGAGCACTATTTATATATCGGGTAGATAAGACAACAACAGATGCCCAAATATCAACTCATCTGAGAGAGATGGAATTCACTGTGAGAGAGTTATCAGGTGTCTCCAATCCGAACTCTAAATTTCGGTCATATAAACTTGAGGTTCCTAAATCTGAATTTCAACGCTTATTCAGTGAATCAGTGTGGCCTGAGGGTGTGAGAGTAAGGCAATATGTCCGTCCACGTGGCGAAACGCAATATACAGACCCTAATTAAATGGACTTGTCTCTAGTGTCGTACAACTCACATGGCCATGGAGTTGGCCGCATCGAGTATATACAAAAACTATGCGACTCTCATGATATAATTCTTATCCAGGAACACTGGCTACTAGAAGAGGAACTTCCGGTATTCGAACGAAGGCTTTTAAATGTTTGCGTCCATGGTATCTCAGGAATGGACAGCGTATCAATACTTAATGGACGACCGTATGGTGGAAGTGCCATTCTATGGAAGAACAATATTTCAAGCACAATAATACCAATCAATTGTGACTCAAAACGCGTGTGTGCTGTGTTAATCAAATGTGGTACTCTAACAATAACATTGTGTAATGTCTACATGCTGTGTGATAGCACGAATCTTAATGAATTTCAAGAAACTTTAGATGTTATCAAAACTATTATCAGTGAGAATGAAAGTGACCATATTTTAGTCGGGGGTGATTTTAATACTGATTTGTCGAGAGTATCCAATCAAATTTCTGAATTATCTGACTTCTGTACATATAACAGTTTTAAATGTCCTCTTTTTAATACAATTGCTGATGTAAACTTTACGTATGAAAGCAAAATTAATGGTAACCGCTCTTTGATTGATCACATACTTGTTTCTGAAAACCTTTGGAATGAGGTTACACAATATAGGTCTATTCATGAGGGAGACAACTTGTCAGATCATGTACCAATTAATTTGAAATTAAACATCCCGCTTAACTATATTAATGAAGATGGTGAGCACAAAACTCATATCAATCTTCCATTATGGCAAGATGCTTCTGTCAGTGATATTCTTGAGCAAATGTTGAATGAATCCGAATTTCCCGCTGAAATTATACGATGCAATGATAGTCTCTGCACTGAACATAATATTGTTATTGAAAACTATTATGATAAGCTTATTTCAATGTCGCTGCAAGCAGGCAAGTTATCTCTCCCGCATTCTCGTTCAAGTAACCGCAAAAAGCCAATACCTGGTTGGCAGGACCATGTTGAGGTCAATAGACAGAGGTCAATTTTTTGGCATAACCTATGGAAGGAAAACAACTGTCCCCGCTCTGGTATAATTGCAGAGACCCGTATTCGCACAAGAGCACAATACCACTACTCTTTGAGGTTTGTGAAAACAAGGAAAGAGTCTATTATTGCTAATAAATTATCGACAAATTTACTGTCCAATAATACCCGAAATTTCTGGAAAGAGGTCTGTAAAATAAATGGTTCTAAAAAGCAGATAGCTAATAACATTGATGGCCATATAGGCGTAGAGAACATAGCTAAATGTTTTAGTGACAAATATGAAGAATTGTATAATTCTGTATCTTTTGATGCTGACGAAATGCTTGGCATTAAAAATAGCATACATTCCAAGATCCAATCGCAATGTCTTAACGGTTCATGTTATTCTAAACACTTGATATCAACTAATCATGTTACTAAAGCTGTATCCCATTTAAAACTTGGTAAAAATGATGGCAATGATGGTCAATCAACGGATCATATAATTCATGCACCCAAGTTATTTTACGTTCACTTGTCTTTGATATTATCAGCAATGCTGTCACATGGTCACTGTCCGAATAATTTCTTACTGTCAACAATTATTTCAATTCCAAAAAATCGGAAGCAATCTTTAAATTGCTCAGGTAACTATAGGGGTATTGCTTTAAGTAGCATTGTTGGTAAAGTGTTAGACTGGGTTTTACTAGAGAACAACAAAGAAGTGTTTAATTCGTCAAATATGCAATATGGTTTCAAGAGTGAACATTCCACTACACAATGTACGTTTGTCTTAGAAGAAAAAATTAAATACTACAATAATAATAGGTCAAATGTATATGTGGGGCTGCTTGACGCTAGTAAAGCTTTCGATAGAATCAATTTTGTAAAGTTATTTAAACTTCTTAGTTCTAAGGGAATATGCCCTTTAATTTCACGTCTCCTGTTAAACATGTATGTAGAACAGAAAATTAGGATTAAGTGGGTCAATCACACTGCTCCACCTTTTAATGTCACGAATGGTGTAAAGCAGGGTGGTGTTTTGTCACCGATATTATTTAGTATTTATATTGACGAACTGCTGACTAGATTCAAAGCTAGTAATATCGGCTGTCGTATTGGAAATATCTACGTAGGTGCCCTGTCTTATGCCGATGATATAACGTTATTATCCCCCTCAAGACAAGGTCTTGTTTCTTTACTAGAGATAGCCTCAGAGTTTTCTCTGCAATATGATGTAAAGTTCAATCCTGATAAAAGCAAACTTTTAGTTTTTAATCACACCTCTTGTAACGATGAAGTTAAGCCTATACCATTTAATGATAAATTTGTAAATGTTTCATCCTCAGAACTTCACTTAGGTAATCTCATTAGCGCTAACTCAAAGGGGGATAATCTTAATCACCATATCAACTCTTTCACTGCGAGGGTAAATGTCACTTTAAGTCAATTTAAATATGCCCATTGTTTAACCAAATATAAATTATTTAAGAGCTTTTGTATGCCTCTTTATGGATGTCAACTATGGGACATGTCAAAAAAGAGCATCGATAAATTTTACTGCTGCTGGAGAAAGTGCATAAGGAGACTGTGGGGAATTCCACTACGCACCCATAACTCACTTCTACATCTCATCTGTGACGACTTTCCTATCGACATGCAATTACATAGGCGGTTTGTAAAATTTATCGTAGGAATACTCGGAGGTCCGAATGAATGTTCTAAAATATGTGCCTATCATGCCCTAAATGGGAGCCAATCAAATGTCTGTAATAACATTAATATTATAGCTAATAAGTATAATTTTTCAAAATACGACCTAATGTCTGATCCTACCAATATTTTAAAGAGAATGACATGCAAACAGAATGATGATGATACTCTTAAACAAAATGCCGGTTTAATCAAAGACATGATTACTCTGAGAGAAAATGTAAATGATATACAATCAAAAAATGAGTTGAATGAAATTATTGAATATATTTGCACTGTATGATATTAATTTGATGTACTTTCTTTCAAACAACACTTTTCATTGAGTTTTGTTCATAATTTTCCTTTAATATTTATATTCTTTGTATTTTGTGTGTGTACCTTGAGTACGAAATAAAGATATTATTATTATTATTATAGCTCCTAACTAATGTATCTGTAACTCAACTTCCAGTTATAATAATTTCAGACACTCTGGAATTTAATTAAATAACACAGACTGGTTCCAATCGATTGAATAGTATCTAATTGTCTGACAATTATTTTAATAATTAAATACGGTGTGTTTTGGAATGTTATTTAAACTATTGTCTTCTGTCAGACTGGTGGATAGAGTCTAGTCGTATTAACATTAGCCAGTCGAATGGAACAGCACCCGCTTAAAATATTTTATAATGTACCATATCAAGTTTTATAGTGTTCAGTGTATGATTTAGGGGAAAAAGGCCCCTAGGCTATTCAACGGGCCCACTCACCAATCGCACTACTATAGGAAGCTAAAAGTGTGTTCAAAACACAATTAAGCACATGATAAGCCTTAAAACAAGCATTTAATTTAGTTGTTTTAAAGTTGTGATGTTGATACTATGTATAAAGTTGTGTGTATCTTAGTCACTAATACGAATTAGGCCCGTGGCTACAAAAATATCATTAAAAATATTTTAAGAATGCATACCTTCCATTGGTCCAGACCTAAAATTTGAATTTGGATTTTGAACTCAATGAAAACTCGCATCCCAAATATATTTTAGTTTGAAATTTCGTGAATAAGCCATGATGTTGTATTTCGGAACAACACATCTGCATATAAAATATTCTCATAAATCTAGTTTTGTATCCTACCTGTATGTTTTTACATACAATACATGTAAAAATAACTAGTACCATATGTCATTCTAACATACCAAGACGGATTTTGAAAGAGACACAAGTTTTCTCTGCGCTGACATATTTTCCATAATAATCGACGGTACTCAATCTTTTTTTAAAAAAATGAAAAATTCCCTTTAACTAACATCTTTTGCATATTGAATTTTTGTCATAAATCGAGTTTTGTAGCCGACATAACCTAATGTTATAACATGTGCAACGAAAAACAAATTAAAGTTTAAAGGGCCAATCTCGATTATATATTTTGGAGAATAAATTTTCTTAATTTTGTGTTAAAAGGCCTTAAAATTCTCTACGGTAGGGCAGTGAAACTAACTCAATATTCATTTTCAGACAACTTAAACCCGTCAGTCTTCATCTGAAAATGGAGACCGGTGTCCCAAGCTGTATTGTACTGTGTTTGGATAAAACCAGACTTTTTTTTTATAAAAATAACATGTAGGTGAAATTCACCTTTCGTTATCAAATACAGCACGTAGGTCATGCACTATATAGAACTTTAAAGTAACGGCAATAGATTACCAGGTCACCCAACGAAACAATTGACCCGAAATCTTAAAAGGGTTACATGTACGGATAAGCGGTTTTCACGTTCACGTTAAAACGGCTCAATATTTTGAGCTGAAATTTAAAGAAACGGTAAATACACCATTCGTTTATATTGTGGGGCTTAAATTTCATACGTACACGGACTTTTATTTCTGGGACTGAAACAATCGGGATGGTACCTTTAAGTAGAAGATATAATAAAAGCTAACGGAAGCTGAAATAAAAGAATATAATAAAAAGTAACGGACGTTGAAATAAAAGAATATGTTATAAAAAGTAACGGATATTGACAGTAAAAGATACAATACAAACTAATATTTACCAGACGGCAATTATGGCTATTATAGATTTTCGTTTGTTGTGGTTAGCGCGATAATGTACACTCCAGGAAACTGACCAAAAACGGTCAACAGAGATGACCAACAAAGTGAAAACCGAAGCAAAAGTCATACCATAGTCACAAAATATCCACAATCCACACATAAACTCACCAAATGGCCAATATCCTAAAATATTGTCAATCGTATAGAAACTCATTGCAGTTGATGCAACACCGATATCTGTTACAGCTAAGTTAACTATGTAGAAATTAAACACTGTTTGTAATTTTTTCACTTTGTAAACAGCAATAAGCACTAAAGCATTTCCAGCAATTGTAATAAATACTACAATATATAAAATTGTTCCCAATAAAATCTTTTGCCAGGAAATCGATGTGTTGCCCGGATGTTCATTACTGCTCATATTTGTGATAAATGAAGAATTAGCGCTAATCAAAGTTGTGTTTTCCATTGTTATCTGCGATGATATTATTTATAAGTAATGTAGTTCTGACACGCATCTACTACAAAATAAGCTGTTATGGAACGTCAACCAAATAAACTCCACTTTTGTTCAGATGCTGAAAGCGATTGTTGCTTTGCAACACGTTTAGAATAAGATGCAAATAACAGATATTAATCGTTAAGTTTCTCTAATCAAAGTCTTCTGATAATTATCTTATATCTAAGGTAAATACCACTCATAACTTTACTGAAGTAGAAAGTGCCATCGATATGAATGCGCATGACCCTGACGTCATTAATATCGATTAATACAGGGTTGTTAACTATTTATCTCCGTTTATTAAGTTTGTTGTCTTCAACAAGTTGACAACTGATTTGTATTTTTCTTCCCTCATTAGAGCTACCTAACTAGCATCGATAAATATAAACAGTTGTTGTATTAAGTATTAATCGATGACTGTAAGGCTGAAACCATTAACACCCATTTTAAAATTATATTCTTGCTTTGTATACAGAAATACACGAGTGGATTCGACAGATGGATACGTCCTTATATCCAGTAAATGTTGAAATATAGTCGATGGGTGTTACCTTTGTCGATTCTAAAAGGGGATTAGACCTCTGTTTTAGTTGACATTGGGCGCGTTCAGGTCTATATGAGATTGATGTATCATCCTTCTATACAGTCATTAGGGGATGATGTTGACCTCCTGTAATCACCTCCAAGCTCGTTGTTGTTCTCTGGGTCCTCCGGCCCCCTCCCACTGCTAAAGACCGCTACGGGAAAGCGAATTATTGAATAAAATGAACCATGTGTTAGTCTAGAAATGACCTAGTTTGTGTCGCGTGGACGTTAACCCCCATTCCTCTCTCTTCATATAATCACCACCTCAATAACCACAACCTACGAAAACCACAGTACGCATGCTTTGACGTTCAAGGTAAGCGGTTGATATTGAGGCCGTGTTGGCTTCCAGTAACTACACCCTCAAAAACCACATTACATATGCTTTACATTTTAAGTACGGTTGATATTGGGGTACTATGAATTGGTCTTCAATTAGAGAGAGAGAGAGAGAAATGGGGTTTACGTCCACTCGACACAACCTAGGTCATTTCGGGACTAACATATGGTTTAATTTTATTTCAATAATTCGCTTGCGCGTAAGGGTCTTTAGCAGTGGCAGGAAACCGGAGGACCCGGAGAAAACCCACGAGGTTGGACAGGCAACCCTATTCCTTGTCACGTACAACCGGGGATTCGAAACCACGCCAGCTGACTCAATGACAGCCCGTATGATACAGCACTCACGTGCTAACCATTCGGCCATCCCCCCCCCCCCCTGCAATCTCAATTAACCAGAATAAGCAAACTGAAAAAGACAAAAATCTTGAGAAATAAAAAACGGAATTAGAAGAAGCCAATTGTGAAAACCCTGAACATAATAATGTAATTGAACAATTAGATAATATTATGAAAGAACTTGAAGATCATATTCAAGAATTAATTATTACCCATTACATATAAAAAAAAGTGACCAAGAAAATAGCAACGGTCGGGACCTAGCTTGCTCACTCTCGAATAATTTTAATTTTCTGGAAATATTTTAGCCAATTATAACATAGATCGATAAACTATTCCTACCATCCTGAATAATTATCCCTGACACATACATCACTACCAAAGCCAGGGACATGTAGAAAGATACGGGAGACCAATTACACTTACTATAAACTAATATCAGCTTGTATTGCAAATCGGATTAGAAATGTCCTTGAATGTATAATCCATGAAAAACAAAATAGTTTTATTTTCGGTAGGTACATTGGAGAATGTACTGGTATACTATATGATATACTATTTGAAACAAAGAAACAAAAGGCATTTGATAAAGTCTCAGGGAAATTTATTGAAAATTCATTTAATCTTGTAAGTAGCCCTAAATCTACAGATGAAACGATAAGTTCCTATTCCAATTTTCACTAATGTCTAACCGTAGTAGTATAAAAAAACAACGAACGGACATATTGTTTAGGTAAACATTTAGTTAACGTGATTCAATACCTATCACACACAGTGTGTTTACTTGTCATGTGTTTTATGGACGGCCAAAAACTGCCAGAATGGCAGTGCCGTACTGGGCCCACCTGTCCACCTGTCCACCTGCCTATAAAGAAAAAAGAGAAAGAAAAAAGAAAAAAAGAAAAAAGAAAGGAGAAAGAAAGGAGAGGGAGAAGAAAGAGAAGGAAGGAGAGGACAGGACAGGACACAGGACAGGAGAAAGAAAATATAGGAAAAAAATGACTGACAAACAACACCAAAAAAGAAGTGTAGCCTACTAGAATTCTCAAATTCATCTAATGATAGTGCTCTTAGGTCATTCTGTTATCTAATTGTATCAGGAAATAAAAAATTTGCCTTCTTCTGCTTTGGTCTGAAATGCTTGGAATATGGGTTTGCGGTTATCAATTTTTAAAAATTTTCCTGGGGGGAGAAACCTCCCTGATCCCCCTCGGACGCTCGCGCGTACTTGTGTGTGCTTTGGTCATTGACCTGACAGGTTGGCCTTTGGCCCACCAGTCCGGCACTGCAGAATGGTATTTATTGTCCCCTGCCTATCGAAGAAAATGGGTCTGTCTGTCTGTCCATCACACTTTTTGGAACACAATAACTCTCCTTCTGATTGAGCTAGAATGTTCAAAATTGGTGTAGGTATTTATTAGATAAATATCTTGATGGAGTTGTGATGTGTTTTACGGACGATCAAAAACTGGTCAAACGACATTGGAATGTTCTACATCTTTGATTTAAATATATTTTATGTGAATATTTCTTGCAGAGCAATAAAATATTAATTAATCTATTTATTTTTTTTCAATCCATATTTCGTGGAAGTACTTGCGTTTGTGTGCATGTATAAGGGTAGAAAAACGTGGATATTAGCCACATTCCATTTAGTACCATGGGCCTTTCTGTCAGACGTGGAGAGCGTGTGACCCTAACCGGTCGCCACATCCTACGTACGACCCATGCATCTGTTCTTACTACATATCTTAGTAGCCTTGTGATGGTCTAGAATTTGTCTTTAGCTGTTTTTGAGGTCCCGTGTACACATTGGTGGGCACTTAAAAGATGCCTTGATAGTTGGAATTCGTACTAAGAGTAGGCCGTAGTGCCGCTGTCCGGGCAAATATCTCTCATGGCACACTGTATGGCGTATGCCCGTCTTCATTCTCCCAGTTCCGAGCAGAACAGTAGGACGTGAAATCCCATTTAATTTCATTTCATTTCATTTACAATAATAGGTGGGAACAAGTCCAAAAGTCTGTTCAAGTCACCAGTTCATCTATTCATCATGGTTAATTAAGAATCTTGGTCTCTTTCAAGTCGCAAGTCATCATGACTGACGAGTCGTGTCTCGATTCGATATAAATATTTCGAATTGATTCGCAAGTCGCGAGACTCGAGTTCCGACCTCTGAACACGTTCAGGACTACGCACGACTATTCTGCTTATGGGCTTCCAAATAACGTGCTCTACTGTCTTCAAACTGATTAGATTAACAAATTAACAGATTCAGTGTTGACCATTCGTAGGTAATGAACCCGATACACCAAGCAGAAGACCCTACAGTATTGACAATTTGCTTTACTTAGAAAAATACAAATTCCATCGTCAAACCTGAAACTGTAGTAGCCTGATTTTATTAGTCATAAAGAAATCGTATCAGTAGAAGTCCGAGTCGAGATACAAATTTATCAATGAATGATACTAGAAGTACTACAGGACTTAAACATACATTATGCCTATTGTATGTCCTTCTTTAGGTCTGAAATGTTTTCTAAATTATTAATTAGACATTAAGTAACTTATCCAAACCATAATCAACTCTCCATGTCATTGCTAGTCTGTGATGTTGTTTTTTTTGTGTTATTTTTTTGGATTAGGTTCCGATTTGCTGTTAGACTATCAAGACTATGTTTTTATCGTGCCGACTTTAGTAATGATCGGGGCTCGGCCGAAAATTCAATCGCTAAATCTCGGTTCAGAGTGGATGAATTTGAGTGTATCTAATCTCCCATAATGTATCTTGAACTTACTTAAAGTTTATTATATTTAATGATTATTAGCTATTAAGTAAACTATAGAAAGCTGAACTGGGTACTTCAACCCGTGGATATTTTTAAGTTGATTTTATTCAACTGACTAAAATCCTTCTGACGATGAGTTTTCTATCATTCAAACATAAAGTGATAATGGGGGTTAAATTAACTTTATCCTTAATGGATTTAGCCAGTGGTCCTGGCGTTTTAATTTACGGATATATCTTTTCTGATAGGTTTTTTCCGTTAAATAAATGCTATACCATTCGCGAGTTGAGCTATACCCACTTCAGTTCTTTGTTGTTTAGTTAATGACTAATAACCACTGGTTAAATCCATTAAAGATAATTATCAACAACAGGTAATTAAACTCTCACTTTCACTTCATGTTTGAGAGAAAGAGATGGGGTTTAACGTCCACTCGACACAATGTGAACATTTAACGGCGATTCCTTCTATTCCAGACACTGAAGACAGCAACTTCAACGTGATCCAATATAGCCTAACCGGCATTCCAAACACCAATAAATCGTTAAAAACGCATTATGTAAGATTTGGATTAAGAGCTGACAGTTTTCACTATAATAGTTATAGTTTTCCATTGTCGTGCGTTTATTACGATAGGATTGTCGCTATTGAGTCTTAGATAAAGAGCTTGCAGTTCTCACTATAATACTTACAAATAAGATAATGTAAAGGGAATTTGTATAAAATTTCAGTCAAATTCATTCACTCTGAACCGAGATTTAGCGATTGAATTTTCGGCCGAGCCTCGATCAATGGTTCACTATTACTCTAATAATTCGCTTGCGCGTATGGTTCTTTGTATGTGGGAGGACCCGGAGAAAATCGACGAGGTTGGACTGACCATCATATTCCTTGAAATGTGGGGAATCGAGACCA